GCCTTAAAGAAGCCCAAGTCAAATCGACAAAGGGCTTAGGGAAAATAAGTATTTTCTTTGGACACTCATAGGATTATAAAGTAAACAGTGGTAATTAAGCGATTGATAAACTTCGTGGCTGTTAAATTTCACTATATCATGTTTTTTTTAAATTTCACTGTGTGATAGCTTTCAGACTACATGGATTTAAGCTCTAGTTATATTTTTTTTAATGATATTGTAGTGCTCGTTCTTTAGAGAAATATGAGCGTTTAGAGACGAAATTTAATTGTACACAAAACCACTCTTATGAAATTATGAGCCTAATAAATATAATTCTTCACAATGTCCTCGCACAAGATTTCCTTCTAAATTTTTTATCATTTGATAAATTTTTTTTTTAAAAATCTCTTTCTATTCTCAATGAAATTTTACTGGTTGATTTATGCTCACTCTTGATAACAACTCATTCCGATTCTAAGAAAAGGTGAAGATTTGCAAAGAGCTTGTAACTCAAATTGTTAAATAGTATTTACTCATGCATTCGAAATTCTAGATCAATTTTTTTTTCTCCAGTATCGTTTGTATCAACAATAAAGAAAGGAGATATAGGACAAGTAATAAAATATGTCAACCATAATGATTATTCTCGAACTCGTCAAACTTGAAATCACTCAATTATAACTGGAGGAAAATATCACGAGTGAATCTAGCACCACTAGATTTTGTATAGTCTAATAGGAACATAACATTTGAGGTTGGTGCAAATGGGGAAATGATAACGAATGTACGACACGACTTAGGGATTGGGAAGGGGGGTCCAAGTAAAGCAACTTTGCCAAAATTAAGAGAATTGTTGATTGAAATCAAGTGTTTGTCCCACCTCTATCTCGAATCCAAACACACCAAAATATAACCACCCCACCAGATGATTCCATTTCAATGGCTTTCATAGAACCAAAGGCAACCTCGCAACAACACCACACTTGTTCCAAACAAATACCGTTACTGGATTCGAACCGTTCAAGAGACAGAGAGGGGCGTTGGAGAGAAAGATTGTGTGTGTGGTAGGCTAGTGGAATTGGCTAATAAAGACCGCATGATTTAAATTGAATGATCTGAATTACTGAATCTATGTGCTTCGAAGTGCAAGATCCGGTGAGGATCTCAATCCACCTAACTACTGTGGGACTTGGAATTTTAGACAAATAAAATCCGTAGAATTTCGTTTGAATGCAAAGATACCTTGTTGAATGATAGGATTTAAATGCAACGCAATGTTGCCCTATGTGTCGGTCACCCTCCTCGCATGTCCAATCTCTATCCTTGCGTGACCAACCATTATGCACAGAGGCAAGGGAATGACGTTGTATACACTTGGCTCTTGTAAGCAGATTTATTTCCCTTATGTATTTTATGAACGGTAGCTTGCTTAATTATCAATCTATTTCAAATGACCTAACATAGAAAACAACGAGCTGATGATCCAGTGATAAATAGTGGATTGCGAAGCTTCCTTCAAACAAAAAACTGGAGGCTACGGATTCGAAACCCGCTGCTAATGTGAAAGCCAGACTTGTTGCCAAAGAAATGTTGAAATACCTATGTGAATTTTTCCGACTTCCAAAAGAAGTGGATAACCATGAGATTACCTCGTTGATGAAAATGAAATGGGCAGAAAGACTTTGACAATTGTAAAACGTCTAAAATTGTGGCATTATTTAGTGCATATCAAATTGTTAATTGTGAGGTGAAGAGTAATCGATAAAAATCCATCCGCACCATAATTGTATAGACATTAAATTAAATTAAATTAGAAAAAGAGACCAACAAAAGAAATAAAAGTAAATAAAAATTATCACTAAGGGCACCAACAAACACGTCACCAACAACAAACTGGATTTAACCTACACCAACCTAACCACCTCCAATCACATCTTAATCTGGGAAATTAAGGAATAAAATTAAAATAAAATACAATTGGGTGAGATTATTTTAAACAACACGTTACTTCACATCATCCGGTACATCACGCTAGCAGCGAGACGTGCTGCGCTTCGCTGTGCTAGCGTTACCTCTCGAAGAACCGACACGTGGCTTCTTGTTCGCCGTTGGATCCATGTCGCTGAAGTCGAATCCCATCATCCCATGTCCACCGACCATATCGTTGAACATCCTCTGGAGATCTTCGAAAATGTCCCCCTAAAATAATCAAAATTGTAATTTTCATTTTTTTTTGTCAAATATTAGATTAAGAAGGTGACGGAATTCGAACTCTGCCAAGTTGCAAGGACAACATTCATTTTTATTACTGTGGTAGAACTCATTTAGATATGCTTTTAAAATATCTGAATACGTTTTTGATAAAAATATTTTCAGAATCAATCTTTAATAAAAATGTAAATAAATCTTAAAAAAACATTTAAAATATTTCTTAAAAGAAACACGTAACTAGTACTTATTGTAAAAATCCAAAAATATTTTCTTTAAAAATACATTCGGCCATATTAAAAACACATACAAACGATCCGTAGAACTCTTGCATCAAATTTGTAATTAAACACCCTGAATTTTTTTTTAAAATCAACTGATATTACCATAATATCCCTTGACAAACGAGTAAAGGAAAGCTTATTCCTAAATTACGACATTATCCTTACCTCGTTTTTCACGTTGTTCATCATGGACAGCATTTCGTCCATGAAATCGCAAAATTCCTGCCGACAAATTCACAAAATTTCAGGGACATAAAAGGAAACTGAAAAACAGTGACGTAATTTTCTTTTTACTGTCCTTTTCTTTATCTTTTTTTTTTACCGCGCATTCCGTACGGTGAAATATTTTTAACGCACCTGGTCTTGCTCTTCAAGGGGGTCGTAGAACCCGGCGTCGTACATTGATCGCTTCGTCTGATCTGAGAGAACTGGGGACAACCAAAACGGCATCGTTAGCGCGAAAAAAGGAGAAATTCAAAGGTTACTAGGCTTTTAACTAACGACGTCGTTACGAACGAAAAGTGGCAAAGTTACCTGAGTAGGCCTCTTGGATTTGCTGAAACCGCCGGTTGGCTTCTCCCGCCGCCATTTGGTTTCGCGCCCTGTCCGGATGCCATTTCTTCAAATTAAAAAAAAAAACCAAAAAATTCATAAATTTACCATGATTTCACAAAAATTCAGCTTTTCTAATGACAGAAACGACGTCGTATGGATTTGCAGAAAACAGAGAACGATGCATTTTGAGGAGGGGGAATTACCAGAGCGAGCTTGCGGTAGGCGGCGCGGATATCAGAGAAGGAGGCGTCCCTGCGAATCCCAAGGACGGCGTAGTAGGAAGATCCGCCGTTGGATCCTCCTTCCTTATCCATCACTCCACAAACCCAACAACAATAAATAATCAAAAATCGAAAAATAGAAAGTAAAATTCAAAAAAAAAAAAGAGAGCCTTCAGAATTCAAAGCGAAGAACTTCGAGAACAGCAAGCTTCTCTCTCAGACCATGGGGGGAAAAGGGAAATTGTGTGTGTGTGAGAGCCTTTCGGAGAGAGGAAGAAGAAGAGGAGGCCCTCTGCGTTTCTCTCGGTTTTTTTAAGTGGCGACGTTTGTCCTGAGACGGAGAAATATCTTGGTTACAGATTCGGCGGGGAAGGTTCGAGAATTTCTTTCCGTACGTGCAAACTGACTCCGTTTGCCTGGTGGCTAGATATTTTCTTTTGGCATATCCATAAAAGGGCCTGAAGTTAAGTTGAATTACGGGCCATTGGGCTTTTTTAAAGCCCAGGCATGTCGGGTTCTCAACTGTCGGATCCTTATGCCCATGTGGAATTGCCTTCGGATAATCAAAAGCGTTTTTATGATGCTTAACAAACAAAAAATGCTGCTAATAAAGATACGCTTAACGAATAAAGCAAACGACGTCGTTTGTCTGATTCACTTACTGTCTGTTTGCTTTTATATATCTCTTGCGCATCTATTTGTGCTAGCCTCTAAAATCCACTTAGATTGATTTTATAATAAGGTATTGCACCCCACGTGACGCTGTAGTTCGGTCATTAATGTCAGTTTGCTTGTGCGCCTCATTTCTGCATAGTAATTTTTATACTGTATTTCTTTTTAGAAGCCAAATTTTCATTTTGATACTATGTACAATATGTTCAATTAACTGCAGGAAAGTAAAACTTGTGAATTATGTATAACTCGTTTTGAAAGTGCTTTTAGACGATTGCAACCGTTTTTAGAGAAAATATTTTTTAAACCAATCTTTAGTAAAAATGTAAGTTAAGCATGAAAAAACACTTGAAGTGCACTAGTTATATGTTTTTTGCAGGAAGCACTTCAAATGCTTTTGAAACCCAAGACATTTTTTCTAAAAGTGTTTTCAGTCGATTAAAAGCTCTTACCAAACGGTCCTAAGCTTAGCACATCTAGGACTAGAATAGTAATTAACAAACTAAGCCAGAGAAGATGAAACTGCATGTCTTCTAGTAGTTCAGATGCATAGGAGGACGCCTTGCCATTCTTTTAGCAGCCACATCCCTACTAACCGAAACCGACCATTTAATGGTGGCACGAAGCTTGCACCAGCATTCCCTGGGTTTCCGTCTAGTCCCTGCGCTATGTACAAAAGAAGGAAGAGAGAAATGCCCGTCTTCTGCTTCGCTACTTGAAGTGAAGTAGAACTCTTCGCTATTGAAGTCGCGCTCTAAGTTGCTGGTGTCCAAGCTTCCTGTTGTTCCACCACCAGTCAGCATGCTGAGTGCATCACCGAAACTTGAGGAGTTTGACTTGGTTCAAACTTCTTATCCTTTCAGTCATTCCTAGTTTATAGGACTTGCTTTTTGAATCTCTGTTGTAATCTGAAACTACGCATGTAATCTTATTGTTTCTGTCTGTATTTTTTATTTTCAAAAGTTCCTTGTATCTAGGGTTTTCAAACCCAAGCTGTAATCTAGAAAGTGGTATAAATACATGCTTCCCATTATTGATTGGGGTATGCAGTTGAACTGAAACCTCCTGTGTCTCTAAGTTTTACATTCTGTGCCTAAATGACCAGTTGGGACAATTGGCGCTTGAAACCGACAGGCGGCCAACTGCTTTCTCCGTTGTCGATAATGGAGCTAAGATCCTCCATCGAAAAGCTGCTGCTTCGGAGATGTATTGGCTCGCTAGGTTGTGCCACAGAAACCACTAGCTGATTGCTGCTACCTTCTGCTTGGTAGGGACATGAGGTTGAATTTGATGCATGGTTGAAACCTAGTTGTATTGGGAGTCCATCTGTGAAAAAAATACTTGGTTTTTAGTTGCTTGGAAAAGCATAGGCAAGGCAAAACATGCTATAATGTTAAGATTTCAAAGAGACGACCAACAGACAATACTAATCAACAACGATATTGTCCCTGCGTGTGGATTTTATCTTATCTGGTTTCCGATGTGGGACGTTACATTCTTCATCATATAATACCATTTACATAACGTAACATTTTACCTTGATGTGTTAACTGAAATTCACTTTGCCGCAGGTCAGGGTTTGGACAAGTGAATGAATCAGCTTGTAGAACTGGCAAAAGCTTGGAAAGGCCAAACATAGTCGAAGCGTCAATGGGCACCAGATCTCTTACATTTCGATAAGCCTGCTGCTTCAAAGCTTCCACCAGCATCTGTAAACAGAATTGGGGAGCTCATCATTTTTTTAGCACTAATGAATATTTTAAAATTTGATGATATCAGTCCCGCATCAACTCTTTGTCTTCGGAACCAAGCAACTGACAAATGAAGGAAGATCGAGAATACGCGTGAAAGATTAGAAAATGAAAAGGAGCTCGAAAATGCGTAGTACGCATACCTTCTGATTCGAGTCGAGTTCATACAGAGAACAGAACTGGCCATTGATTATTGCCCCTTCAAGCCCGTGGATGGAATTGAACATGAGACTTACGTCCTGCTCAGCTATGTGGTAGGCATAGAACTTACGATCATCCAACTTACAGGCCATTGCATGCTGTACGATTGTATCCCATATCTTGTTCGAGATCCCACGCAAAACCTACATTTCCGCATCAGAAAATTAGACAGATATATTAAACTACGGGTATAAACTACTCTAGGCACACTACTTAGCAGAAGAAATGATTTTCTTACATTTCGTAGCGAGGATGCATCTTTCATGTACGACTGCAGGAAGTCCTCCACGGTGCTGATTCCCTTCTCGTACAGTCTCTTATGAAAGGCACCATCCTTCGATATCTTTTCCAGGCGCCATATTTCGTCGTTTGGGTGTGGAGGGTGGTGTTTCTTATACACTGAATTATCATTTTCTATGTCAGTTTCATTTAGTTCAATGCCAAAACAGTTTACATTTTAGTAAAGATCAGGAGTAAGGCAAAACATGCAATAATGTCAAGATTTCAAAGAGACGACCAACACACACTTCTAATCAATAACGATATTGTCCCTACGTGGATTTTATTTAATGAGGTTTCCGATGTGGAACATTACATTCTTAATCATCTAATACCATGTACATAATGTAACATTTTACCTTGATGTGTTAACTGAAATTCAACTTGCTGCATATCAGGGTTTGGACAAGCGAATGAGTCAGCCTGGGGAACTGGCAAAGGCTTCGAAAGGCCAAATATAGTTGAAGCATCGATGGGCACCAAGTCTCTTACGTTTCGATAAGCCTGCTGCTTCAAAGCTTCCACCCGCATCTGCATACAGAATTAGGGAGCTCATCATTTTTTAGCACTAATGAATATTTTAAATACGCACCAATTCTCTGTCTTCAGAACCAAGCAACTGACAAATTAAGGCAGATCAAGAATACGCGTTAAAGATTAGAAAATGAAAAGGAGCTCGAAAATGTGTAGTACGCGTACCTTCTGATGCGAGTCGAGTCCATCCAGAGAACAGAACTCGCCATTGATTATTGCCCCTACAAGCCCGTGGATGGAATTGAAAATGAGACTTATTACGTCCTGCTCAGCTCTGTGGTAGGCATAGAACTTATGATCATCCAATTTACAGGCCATAGCATGCTCTACGATTGTATCCCATATCTTGTTCGAGATCCCACGCAAAACCTACATTTCCGCAGCAGAAAATTAGACAGATATATTAAACTACGGGTATAAACTACTCTAGGCACACTACTTAGCAGAAGAAATGATTTTCTTACATTTCGTAGCGAGGATGCATCTTTCATGTACGACTGCAGGAAGTCCTCCACGGTGCTGATTCCCTTCTCGTACAGTCTCTTATGAAAGGCACCATCCTTCGATATCTTTTCCAGGCGCCATATTTCGTCGTTTGGGTGTGGAGGGTGGTGTTTCTTATACACTGAATTATCATTTTCTATGTCAGTTTCATTTAGTTCAATGCCAAAACAGTTTACATTTTAGTAAAGATCAGGAGTAGTGAGTTAAGGATGTTCTTTATAAACTTACGTTCTCCGCGGTGATCTTTAACCACAAACGGTTTACTTGTAGCTTCCCTAATTCGAACTTCACTCTGGGCTTTGGCCACAACTCGAGCTGCTAGTCTGAACTTTCTGCATCTTACCCAGCTTGAGTTGTCGGTAAACATGACATCACCGAGAGAACCAACTCCCTCTCTCAGTGTAACATGTATGTCACCCGTCACTAATGGCCTTTTACCTTCCCTTTCGCGCACAATGTAGGTGTTGAGTTCTTTTTCGGTCCAATCCTCTTGATCATCAGACCCAAACTCACCATTCAGCACAAAAAGTTCAACCTTTAGTGAAGATAGGGGACCGGAATGGACTATAGCACCAGTACTGGCATCAACCAGTTCAATTTGAAGAGGCTCGCGGTTCTCTGCTTCCACCCTACTGCCTGTGAATATGGTAGTTGGCAGCTTGTTGATAAAACGCAACTGCAAGCCGCTTCCTCCAGATGTACTCCCACTTTCGTTTGAGGGCCTGTGACAAAATCAACAACAAATCCAATATGAATCTTGCAAGAAACAATTTGTGCAGTATGAATGTAGCATCGATAGGCTGCGTGTTCATCGGAATATATCAGCTATTGGAAGCTTTGGTGACTAAAAGCTAACCTTGGAGATGCCATGAAGGAGGGAAGAATACGTCGCTCCAACTCATCTCGCACCTATATACGACAAAGATACATGAACAATGAACTCAAGAGACCTCACAAAAAAATGATTTCGAACAAATTTGCGTAACATATGCTCCTGCATAAGTTCTAAATGGCAAAAACCGCGTTTAAACTGTCAAACATGTGTTTTTGTTTTCTATTAAAAGAGGGCTAATGAAAAAACCTAACCTAATAGTCAATCCTAGCTTTCTTTGCAGCAGTTACTCAAACCGTCTTCCTAATCGAAGGCAATAAACTTGTGAAAACAAAGCACAGTAAGCCTAATAAAACTTGGTAACTATGATTACTGCAAACAGTTGAATATTTAACTTCTATATTGCTGCATAACACACAGAAACTATCACTAAAAAGCTTTCTTAAGTCTCAAGCTTGAGCTTGGATTCATTCGTACAGACAAGAACGGAGATTCGAACTTACTATTCTTTGAAAGGAGCGCTCCAACACGCCATTCAGTCTGGCATCCGTCATCGCATCCCTAAGAACACTGCACAACAAACATCACAAAACCCTAAAGTAAAAAAAACCAACTCAATCAACCGGAAAAGCACTAACTAAACTTATACTCAAACTGAACTACCTACTTGGTAAAAGTAAGTCTCCTTTTCGGTTCTGGAACCGGAAATTCAAACTCCTTGCCATCCTCGCCACTAAGATGCCTCTTGAAGTTCATCAAAAACCCGCGCGAAACAGCAGCTAGCAGCAAGTTGGGTTTAGTTTCTAAAAAGCACGTAAGATTTCGAACAAAGAGCAACGAAATCAACAAACTGCTCAGTCCTTTAAATACAAAATCTTTGATTGAATTATTGAAGACAGAAGGTACATGGAAGGTTAGTAGTACTAAAGACAGACACGCTAAACCTTGAAAGTCAAGCTAGGATTAGCTCATGCTTTAAACTAACAAGATCCCAAAATTTGTATTAAGATAGTAATAATGTTAGATTATACCAACGTTGCATCAGCTTTTATGGGATTGATCGATGACCGTCTGAGAAGAAGGAATGCCTTCCAATAATATTGTATTTATCTCATTCAAAGGTATATATATAATCATATACAATCCTATCATAATACAGGAAAGAATAATTAATAATTACATCCTAAACTAAGAAACCAAATATGGTAGGAATCCTAATACAAGTCAACATTCGCCCTCAAGTTGGTGCATAGATGTTACACATGTCCAACTTGTCTAGAAACCTTGAGAACTTGTCACTAGAAACCGCCTTAGTGAGAATATCTGCTACTTGGTCTTCAGTTCCTATTGAATGAACCTTAACGACCTTGCTTTCTAGCTTCTCCTTAATAAAGAACCTGTCAACCTCTACTTGCTTGATCCTATCATGTTGCATTGGATTATGAGCAACATCACGAGCAGCTTTATTGTCACAAAATAACTTCATCCGCTAACCATGTTTGACCCCCAAGTCTTGTAACAAAAACTTAAGCCATAAGATTTCACAAATACCAAGTGCCATACCTCTAAATTCGGCTTCTGCGCTTGACCTTGCTATGACATTTTGCTTCTTGCTTCTCCACGTTACTAGATTTCCCCCAACAAAGGTGAAATACCCGGATGTCGAGCGCCTATCATCCGTCGATCCTGCCCAGTCAGCATATGTATAGCACTCAATTCTGAAATGTCCATTCTTCCGAAACAAAATTCCTTTACCAGGGATTCCTTTCAAGTAACTCAATATTCTCATAACAGCACTCATGTGTTGGTCTCCGGGATTATGCATATATTGACTAACTACACTTAATGCATGAGCAATATCTGGCCTAGTATGGGCCAAGTACATTAATCTTCCTACTAACCTTTGGTACCTCCCTTTTTTCGACCGGTACTTGGTTCTGATCGATACCCAACTTCAGTCCTTCGGCCAACGGAGTAATGGCTAGCTTACACGCCAACATGCCGGTTTCTTCTAAAAGGTCAAGAACATACTTCCTTTGTGATAGAAATATTTCGAACTTACATCTCGACACTTCAATCCCAAGGAAATATTTTAAAGAACCCAGATCTTTCATTTCGAATTTCGAGGATAAATACTTTTTCAAGGCTACTTGCTCAATTGGGTCGTTACTAGTAACCACCATGTCATCCACATATACAATGAGAGATGTAACCTTTCCGTTCTGGCATTTCAGGAATAACGTGTGATCCCAATTACTTTGCCTATAACCGAATGCTTTCATGGACTTGGTAAATCTATCAAACCAAGCTCTCGGAGACTGCTTCAACCTATACAATGATTTCCTGAGCTTACATACCTTTTGTTTCCGTATGTCCGGATCATTACACCTTGGTGGAAGATCCATGTAAATCTCTTCGGTTAGATCTCAATGGAGGAATGCATTTTTTACGTCGAACTGTTGCAAAGGCCAATCTAGGTTTGCTGCTATGGACAGTAGAACACAGACTGTATTGATCTTCGCCACTGGTGCAAACGTATTAGTATAGTCGATGTCATATTTCTGTGTATACCCCTTTGCCACCAATCTTGCTTTAAAGCGATCCACTGTTCCATCTACTTTGTATTTTACTGTATAGACCCATTTGCATCCCATAGATTTCTTTCCAGCTGGTAAGTCAGTTATTTCCTAGGTAGCATTCTTCTTCAACGATCTCAATTCCTCGTTCATTGCATCTTTCCAGCAGGAATTTGCTAAGGCCTCCTGCACACTGTTAGGAATAGATACAGTAGATATTTGAAGAAAAAACAAGGATTTTATTTAGAAAGTAAAATAACTGCTAAGGCACTCCAAAAATCTCATTTTGCACTCAAAACTTTCTATAATTAGAAAGTAAAATACACCTGTGAGGAGTGTAGAATGAGATTTTTAGAATGCTACAACAGTTCTCAATAGTTTTAGTGAATAGAAGATTCAGAGTTCTTTTTAAGTACAAACGATATTTAGTACTAATTTGTAATTTCTCCCACAATGCAGTGAGTTGGAGAGAAAGATTCTACCATTAGAGCAATCCACTACGTGCAAAAGACTCCAAATTCTAATACACTTGTAATTGTGTTTTAATATAATGTAAAAGTAATTATTTGGAGTCCTAAGAACCAATATCGTGATATCAACTTGTATGTGTTACTCAAAACTATTTGCTATTAATTCACTGAATTTCATATTTATAATCAAAACCATTCATTTTATAAATGACTTTCTCATCTCAGCAAAAAAAAAAATCAATTAAACTAAGGTCGTTTAGTCATTGAATTGTATAAAACATATGAACAAATTTGGTAAAAGCATTACCAATCATCTATCGATTTGCTACAAGTTGATTGACTTAACAACATTAGTTTTAATTTTTTAATTATTTTAAAGATAACCTTTACAAAGTGATTTACGATATGTGTATCAATCATAATCACAAGTTCTAAAAATTCAACTCAACAAATTTTGAACATGAATTCTTACTCGTAATGAAGGATTATTCTATTATATATCTAGTTTGCCAATAGTTGAAGTTTATTTGGGTCAATTTCCAGCCCCCACTTTATAAAATAAGCGAGGATCTAGTCCGACGCAACTACGTGCCCTCTCATACAACCCCATCAAAAACATTTTGTAACAATCCCAAAAGTCTAAAATGCCCTTGCTTCTGATCTCGTTTCGTTCCCTGCCAAGGAGAGCAGTGCCCACCGAACCCGCCGGTGCATTTTAGCATCCGCCGCGAGCAGCTCACCTGCCCTTTAGAGAGAGAAAATATCCGTTAGCGACTCCGCAGAAAAATAAAAAGCTTTTATGCCGTTTTCGGAGAACAAATCCGGTGGGGCCACCCCCCGTATGTATCAGTTCCTTATGATTTTTAATTTTCTTTTAAATATTTCACCTTTTTATTTATTTATTTATTTACATTTTGGGAGTAAAAACGAGGAAGCTCCGGGGCAGAGTTTGCAGAGAGATTGAAAAACGGGTAAGTTTCTCCAGGCACTGTTTGGTTGCCGAGAAAATTGAGGAAAACATAAGAAATTCCGAGTGTTTAATTTTTAGTTTTTTGTGCTTGTGTTGTTAGAAAACTATACATTTGAGCTGATTAAAATAGTTTGTATCTCTTTTATGCAAGGAAAAAGAGTTTTTTTTTTGGGGTTTTTTTCCTGCCCATATATGGTCAATGCTTAATGTTTATGTTCATGATCTGTGTGGTTTTTACAAAATATAACGCATGTATGTTGGGCGCAAAATCAAGTGCAGTAGCGTTCTAGGGTTCTTACAGCTGGCCCCCCTTGGTGGGATAAGATTTGGTTGTTGTTGTTGTTGGTGGTGGATGCTTAATGCTAGCTCAGCTGCCCTTTGTTGTAATTCTTTGTGGATGTTGTTCAATTTCATTGCTGTTTATCTGACTAATTTCGAGTGTTTTTCGAAGAGATATTAGCGTTTTCTTCGATTATTTATGCCTCATGTATGAGTATGAATGTATGTTTTGCTGTTATTGTTCTTGATCCTTGGTGTGAGAAGTAATAGGTCTAATATGTAAGATGTCCTTCCTTACTTGTAAATGTGCATGCTTTATTGCAAAGAGATTGATTTAAACTGCATAGTTGATAGAGGGCAGATTGTTATTTCTTAACTGGGTTCGATTACTGACTATCCAACTGTTATGTCATCGCAAGGTTCGAGTATTGCCTCATTTGATAGCATTGGATTTGTTACTTGCAATTGAATGATCCATACGCGACTAAGAGAGGAAGTTGTTGGATCTCAGATACTAGATTGCATCTATTGAATTGTAGCAGCGTTGAAAATGATACCCGTTCAGTGCTCCACTTACTAGTTCAGACTAATTTTGGTTCAGTTTCTGAGGACCGTCACTTCATTCTGGCATGGGCTTGGAGGAAAGAGTTGACATACATAACAAGCAAGGCAAAGTTAATCAGACATCAACTATTTGCAAGCATGCTTTTTCTGACCTGAAGCATATTACTCCGTTGGTATTCATATACCTCTTGAAAGAGTGCTATTTCCATGGTAAGGGTATTTTGCTCTCAATCATTAATTTCACTGTCTTTAAGCATGATTATGTTGTGACGAGGAATTTGATCCTAACTTGTTGTGCCTTTTGTGTTAGTGGTGTACCACGCTGTGGTCAATTACTCAATCATTAATTTTCCCCAAATTAATCCTTCATGTAGTGTATTAAACCATTTTAGTTCAAAATCATCCTGCTTGTTTTAAAATTGACATTTATTCAGTCATCTAACTGTTTAACAAAACTTATGCCCCAAGACATTTCCATACAGAGGCAAGATAAAACCTGTCTTAGTATTGATAGAACCAACTGTTCACTTTACCATCTACTCTGTCTGCCTTTCCAAATAACTTGATAGGCACTTAGCCCTCACAAGTGAGGCATACTTCTGTTGTGTGTTTCGATTACCATTAGAGATCCAGGATGAATTTATACCAATATGCTGTAGTCCAATCCTGCAGAAATTTACTCGTATGCTATGCTACTTTTTTTTTTGGTTGCAAATTGAACTGAGTTTGAATATAAGATCTTATTTTCTCAGCTTTTCTGCATGTACTTTGGAAGTAATGTTTCTTTTCTACATGTAATAGGCACATTTAAGGCAACTAAGAAGTTCCGAGTTCTTCAAGAACAGGTTCATCTAGTACTACGCAATGATCCCCAACCTGGACCAGCTACTTTTTTTATTCAGTGCCTCTATGTCTTGCCTATATTTGATTTATACTGTGAAGGGTTCAGTCATTTGATTATATCTGCTCTTCGCCGTTTCCTAAAATTGGAAACATGCTCGGGGGACGCTATGGAAGCAAAGGACCTCGCTGCCCAGTTGTTTCTCGATATTGTTGGGGGCTCTGTCAACCATGATGAGAGGATAGTTGAGAAGATACTTGAAGTTTATGATGTTCAGTTGGCAAACATTGATAAAGTAATGTGCCTAAATGCAAAGAATAATTGCAGATTTGACAATGCAAAAGAGTTTGTTGAGCAATATATATTTGGACTGATAGAGTCTCAATCATATATGGCTGCGGTTACTTTATTAGAGCACTTCTCTATCTGCCAGACTGGCCAATCGTTTCTCCATCGTATGATAGAAAGCAGACAGTTGAAAGCAGCAGATAAATGGGCAACATTCATGGGAAAGCCAATGTTATGTATTCTTGTCCAGGAGTACATTGGCAGGAACATGCTAAAAAATGCTTATGACATTATACAAAAAAACAATCTCCGACATGAATTTCCCGATGTTTACCACAAGTATAAAGAGAGGTATTTTTTTATATTCATATTTATGCTTGGTTGTCAAATTTATTTCTTTTTTCCACTTACTTTCCTTTCAATCATTCTATTTGTTGGTCTTGAATACCTTTTCTCGCTATTTAAAATAATAAGAGTTAATCATATACTTTCAGCACTATAAAGAAACTAGCAGAAAAAGGTTGCTGGGAAGTTGCAGAAGCAAGGACAAACAGTAATAGACAGCTTCTTGAATATTTGGTACGTAGCTTTTGGAATAGATTGCATTTCCAAATTGCATATATGTATGCATGTATGTCTGAATGTATGCTTGGTTGCATTCTTTTCATATTAAATGAATTATACTCTTTTGGTATTGCTAAATTTTTTTTTCTTGTTACTTTTGAAGGTTTACTTAGCAATGGAAGCTGGTTACTCAGAGAAGGTTGATGAGCTATGCGACCGATACTCGCTTGAAGGTTTCTTAAATGGAAAAGGTATAACAAACGTTAATTAAACCTCGCTTATCGTTATGAAATTATTTTTCTAGAGTTAATGCAGTGAAGCTGTCAATCCTAGCAATCTAAGTTTGTTCTTTAGCACAACTAGTAGTTTTCCTTTTTCTACTATTTAAAGACAACGTATGAAGATAGCAACTCGAAGTTGTACATTTAATATAACTTGTTTATCTTTTTTATTTAGTACCTGAGGCAAGTCTTCTTGAAAATCGTTATTTGCATCTCAATGAGTTGGTAGTAGAAGGTGTTGTTTGGGTTGATGAAGTTGATGCCTTGCGCAATGCAACCTCTCACTTTGAGGGATGCAAAGTTGTGGGTCTTGATTGCGAATGGAAACCGAACTATGTAAAAGGCAGCAAACCAAGCAAGGTAATAAGGCATATTGAATTTCATTCTTTGTTAGACTTCAGTTGTTTTTTCCCTACATTTCCAAATACATGTTCACTCTGAATGATACTCTCATAGTCAGCTAACAAGTTTCCTTCCGTTTACAAATCTTTGTTTTGTTGAAGTGTTTTCTCCATGTTTCAGGTTTCCATCATGCAAATCGCATCTGAAAAAATGGTTTTCATCTTAGACTTGATCAAGTTATTCAATGACGTTCCTGACGTCCTGGATGATTGCGTAACTCGCATTCTGCAATCTCCTAGGATTTTGAAACTTGGTATGAGAAATTGTAATACAGTGGATAAAATAGAGCCTCCTGACGATGTGCATAAATGAAATAAACTGGAAATTAAGCATGCCTGTGAATTATGCTCCTTGTAGGCTATAATTTTCAATGTGATATGAAGCAGTTGGCTCATTCGTATGGAGAGTTAGAGTGTTTCAAACACTATGAGATGTTACTGGACGTCCAGAATGTTTTCAAAGAAGCTCGCGGTGGTCTCTCTGGGCTTGCAAAGGTACCAGAATTGAACACACAACAATCTTTTCTTTATGTCTCTGTCGTTCTATCTATTTGCATTCTAATGCTCATAAATTGAAATTTACTTTGTGTACTGCATCAGAAAATACTGGGAGTTGGTTTGAACAAGACAAGATCAGGAAAATTATTGGGAGTTGGTTTGAACAAGACAAGAAGGAATAGCAATTGGGAGCAACGACCTTTGACACCCAATCAGGTAGTTTTTATACATATACATTTCACCTTTCTTACCACTGCAATGACTTTTGAAATTGATTTCTCCCTGACACTCGCAAAGCGGGGAGTCTTGTTGGGTTGTGGTCGCCCTTTAGATTACTCAACTACAGTTAAAGTTTTAGTATCTGACATGACGTGATGTTTGAGTTCTACATCCAATTGTGTAGTTCAAATAAACTTGAGGCATATTCTTGTGCAGCTGGAGTATGCAGCTATCGATGCAGCTGTTCTAGTTCACATATTCCGCCATGTTCGGAATCATTCCCAGACTGCCGAGGGGGAAAAACCCGAGTGGAAATCCTGCATCGTAAGTACAGATACAAAAACTTTTCCGATGAATTGTCATCGTGCATGAACATTTCTTCATTGAACCATTGAATGCGTTGGTTTAATATACAGGTTTCCCACATGGATAATAAGAAGACCAAAAAGGGGAGTCGAAAGGAGTCATCAGAAGCTGAGACAAAGGAAGAGCAGCAGCAACTTACTTAGCCGCGTCGCATTTTCCCTTTGCCGTTGGATTAGGATGTAAACACCTGTAAATTTATCCATTTGGTTAAAAAAAGACGGTGTTCAATCAAGATGATGGTCAAGAATTCTAAATATTTTCGCATTTGCCTAGTTTTCAAAATTTAATCTCCCTTGGTCCATGTGGCATGATTTGGGACAAAGCTTAAAAATTTTAGCCATAACTCATAAACAACTTTTATCTTCTAATGGTTATGGTTAAAATTTTAGCCAAGATTATTAAAGAATATTTTTAGTTTGAATTTTTTTGGTAATTCTTGAAAAAATAAATTTATGTAGACTATTCAAATTTATTTTATGAACATTTTAATCTAAAAATGTTTAAATTCGGATAAATAATGGAGAATCATGCAACTTAGGTATTTATAGAGTTTTTCGGGTGAAATTGAGTTAAATAACCTTTTTAATTGTTTTATCTGTTAGATATGTATTTGGGCTGTTGAATGATTTTTTCACTGTTAAATTTGATCTCATTTGATTATAGTCGTTAGATTATAAATAAAAATAAAAAATAGTTTAAAATATTATTGTTGGATCAACCAACGGTCATATTATGAGCCGTTGACTAGCCAAAGAGTCGTTCGCTCTATTATGTAGTGGAAGCCCGTCCTAATGGGCCCAACCATGCTTCCGTGTGGCGTGCGGCAAGTCTGTTTGGGGCGTGGGGCTTTAGTCGTGCAGCCCGCGCGCATTGGTTGATCCAGAATGAATTAAGCCAGACTTAATTCTTGAGAGAAATCTAACCGAAATTTTTTTCTTCCCAAAGCTTATTTTAGCGCTATGATTGAAAATAATTGGGGGGCGGGGAGGGGGGTGTCTAAAGCTTAAATCTTAAGCTTTATCCCAAACCATTGCAAATGGCCTTACCATGTAATATGGTTAAGGAGTCAGGTGCTGGACTGAAACCTTAAAACGGCCCCCCAGCTCCCTTTGGGTCCTTCTCCTGTTCAATTGTGCACAAGGATATGAGCACATGATTTGACCTTTTCTTATTCTGCACACTCGTATTTATGTTTTTATATTATCTTTTGATTTATTTAATTTAAAAATCAGAAATAAACACAGATGTGTAAGGTGAGAAAAAGGCACAAAAAATCACTTTTTTTTTTTTTGAGAAACTGGAAACGATTAATAACCAGGACAAAGATGCCAAAGAAACATAATGAAGCCTACCCCGAGGCAAGCATCAGAGAAACCCGGGTAATGCAAGGGGTTGAAGGAAACAGATGCAACAAGCAAACAACAAGCGTCACCCCTTCCGTTACCAAAGCTAACTTAAGAAGGACAAGGAAGTCCATCACTACATAATACATGAACCAAAGAAGATGGAGGCCTATCGACCCAAGTAAAATCACACATCTCCATATTTCTTTGTGACGCTAAGATGTCCACCGCCATATTGGCTGATCTTGGAGTCCAAAACCAGTGAAAGTCTTGAAGGGAATCTCCAAGCAACTTACACTTCGTTAGCACTGGAAATGCCTCCCACTTGCCATTTGAAATCTTACCCTTAAGGCAAGAAATAGAATCCTAGGAATCAGATTCAATCACAATAAAGTTGAAACCTATAACAGCTCTTATCTCACAGCCATGACGGATCGCAACTGCCTCTGCAGCTGCCGCAGATTGAGCAACATAACTACTCCTCCTAGCAGCAATAAAGGTGTCAGAAGAGTCCCAAGCAACAACCCCTGAGAAACCCGATTTTGTAGCTTTCTCCCATCTTTCTCCCATCTAGCATCGACATCGAGCTTGACAAATAGAGGAGGAGGAGGAACCCAACGGGCTGGCACCTAGGCAACAAGGTTGGCCTATGATGAAGTCAACACCGGGACCCTGGAGGCTTCATGGAATGTACAGGCAGTAGTATCAATGACAGCGATCACATGTCTCGGGTTGATAGATTACTTATGGAAAAGGAAATTGCATCTAGTTTTCCAAATTTGCCAACACGTGAATGCAACATATGATAACACTCTATCCACCTCAACCTTCGAATTCGAAGTGGAGTTAGTGAGGGTGATAAGCCAATTCACCCAAGTTGTGATAGCATTGCGATTAAGTCTAAGATTCAACATACCACCAAACCATATCGGTTCCACCCATGGGCATAGAAGAAAGAGATGCTCAATGGTCTCCTTGTGAGTTTGACATATTGGACAAAGAGGTGAGGGTGCCACCATTCTCGTAAATAGGCCCGCCGACGTAGCCAAAGCATTATGAACTGTCTTCCAAAAGAAACATCGAAGCTTAGGTGGGGTATGTAGCTTCCAAATAACTTTCCATAAATTTCCTGGAATAAATAAGGAGGAAGACGAAGCCCAATTGACCCTTTGAGCCGGCTTTGCATGAACGCAGTGATAGCCTGATTTAACTATATAAATCCCTCGACGATCATAAGGCCAAATCAACATGTCCTTTAAACTAGGATCACCAATTTGAGTATCCACAATGGCGTCGTCAATGCACACTGCACACCCTCCTAACAACGAGAAATTTTTGGGTCTGTCAAGTGGATTACATCACACATTCGGCCACACACAGTTGAGACCGTCCTATGTATTTTGGTTTTCCTCGCTTAAATGATGTTGTCATCTCATATTTGGACATTTCTGTCATTGTGGAGAAAGATTTAGAATTTTAGATGGACCAAGTACATTTTGATGGTGAAAAATAAGATTAGCATGTGAGTCTGTGACATTATTAGACCGAATTACTACTATAAATACGGGCGCATGGTAACGCTCACCGGACCAAAGAATTTCTCATTAACAACCCAAAACAAAGCAACGATTTTTCAACCGATTGGGAGTTTAATGTGAAGGAAGTGGGGTGTGTAAACTATTTGTATCACTTTGACCCAAAAAAAAAAAAAACTATTTGTATCACACTAACTTTGTTTAATATTACAAATACATTTTACACTTCAGGGGCAGGACAGTAATAACCTTCAACTCTCTAAATTTACTTAGGTTGACATGGCACTCAGAACTGTGTACAAAAACCAACCTTGGCCAACAAAAATCCAACCCGAAATTCTCGGTGTCTCTCTCTCCTCCCTGTCTTCAACCCAACAAAGAACACCAACTAATCACTTCTTAGCCACCCTTTAATATATTTAAAAAGGCAAAAATAAATCCTAATAATGCACATAATTAACATGCCTCGGAGTCTCTAAACTCTCTCCCTCTCCATCGCGAAAACATTCAAAGAGAAATCTTTCTAGAACGGGAGAGAGAGAGAGAATATCAATGGAGGAGATTCGATACCGTTCATATGCAGTTGCTGGCTGCCGGAACAACCTAGAGATGGTGAACGTGAGGAGATTAAGCGAAAACCGCACAATGTACATGGGGAGGCCACATTTTCATCCATCATGGGATCCGAATCCCTCCATGAAAACAGGACAATGCAACGATCTTCAACTCCGCATCGGGGGGATGAAGGCGAGGACAAAGAGAGTGTCGTCGACGAAGTCGAAGTCGATGAAATTGTGGTGGAAAGATCCAGAGATTAAGAGAAGAGGCCGAGTGGCTAGGTATAAGTTGTATGGTGCTGAGGGGAAGGTGAAGAGATCTTTGAAGAAAGGATACCGTTGGTTCAAGAGGAAATGTCTCGAGATTGTACGTACCATTTGAAATACTTTGACCGATTTGAAGACATTGAAAGCTCAAATGTCCAAGTTTCCCATTCAATTCGTGTGTACGAATAATGTACGTACGAGCGTATATCCTACGTATGTGTGTACGAGGCTTTCATGATTGCAAATTAGCATGCATGCATGCAATGGAAAAGTGATCGTTGGTTCTAACTTCTGAATTTTAGAAGTTTTTTTTTTCCTCACTTGTGGGATTTGGGAAGGTGAATGTTCCTCAAATGTTGTTTCAATTAGGTGATCTTTTTATATTTTATTTTTCATTTATTCACAAAAAGAAAGAAAAAACAATTCATTGTTCCCCATTTGAGTTTTCAACCTTCTAATTTATGACCAAAAAAACCTTTTTAATTTATTTAAAATTTTTAATATTAATATATTTTAATATTATTTATGTAATGCTGTATTTTAATGATTTTCGTACATACATTAGCTTCTTTTATACGTTTTAATGTCGGAGACAAATGTTAATCAAACACTTTGGAGAGTCGTTTCATGAACATGCATGCAAGAATGTATCCAATCCTTGTGATAACTGTCTCAAGGCTTGCTCTCCAAGATAAATGTTTGTTGTCACATGATAAGTGAGATAAAAGAAGATTGGGATGGCAAAAATTATCTCGCGTATATAAGTTATTTTCCAAAAACATTGCTTTATTAGTTGACCTTCAATTATTACTCTGCCAACCATTTGTCTTGTCATATTGACGTGGTTTTGTGGTCAAAAGGAAAAATGAATTATGATTTTGATATTGATATTTTTTTTAAAACCAAAAATCTATGATTAAGACCAAGATCTAAGAAACCATAAAGAATTAGTTGACAAATGGCACATGCAATCATAGCGATTAACATATTGTTTAAGTGTTGCAAAATAGTAAGCAGACCTCATTAGATTCTACTAGACTATGACTTGGTAACAACCCTAGATAATGTGTTTCTTGTGGGCTCATTCTGTCTGCAAAAACATTTATGTATGAGCTCTCATTGGATTATTTTTGGATTTATTGTCCAGAGTTTAAGGATCAATAAATTTGGATTTTTGATTTGTGAGAAAGAGAGATTAAAGCTTTTGTGTGAGGTGAATCAGCGCAATGAGTTAATGAGGACCGTCGAATTCAATTTGAGTGGTTCCAATTGCCAGATCTTTTGGCTCTAGACAATAAGATCCAAAAAAGATCTATTTCCAATCATTTGTTCTCTTTGTAGGTATCGTCGTTCCAAACCAACATGCAACGTTATATAAGTAAAGTAAAACACACAATGATAGGTGATAGATTTAGAATGTTGTTATCTTAATATGCCCTATTTCACATAAGTTTTTTCATACGAATGGTTTGAAACACCGTCACTTCAGCTCCGGGTGTGAAGAAAGTTTCTCCCATATGAAAGGGATTCAGGTGAGAATATCAAGATCATCCTCACATGTAATGACGCCGGAGATATGAAGAAG